GTCGACAATTATTTGTTACTATGACTAAAATGGTTTAATAAATAAAAAAGTGATATTTTTTTTGGTAAATAAAAAGTTTGAGGACATTTTTTGGTAAATAAAATGTTAAAATTTTTTTAGCCAAAATTTCATCTTCAAACATTTGGATTAAAGTAGTTAACATGATTATAGCATTAAATACTATTGTGACTAGTAAATAAAAATTATGGATGAAAAAAAATAATGAAGTTACAAATTTTCTGAATTTCTTTTCTAATTTAATTCATTGGTTTTAAGAAAAAAAAAAATAGAGATATCAAGAGATGAAAATACCGTTTTATTTTTCACCTAAAATATATTTTAAATAAAAAACAAATTCATAAAATTTATGCGATAGATAAATCTAATATGATTTATGCGATAGATAAATCTAATATAATTACTTAGTTATAATTTTCATTTAGTTTAATTAATTCTGTTAAAATAAATTTTTATGTACATTTTCCCCTATAAATGTTTCAATGAAAGTTGCAACATATAAATTTATGACCAATTTTCCATATAGTTGTTCACAAAATGAATAATTAATCATATTCTGGTTATCTTTTGCAATCATTGATATTCTTTCCGAGATTTATAAGTTTTATGAATTTCTCTTTTAATTTTAAAAAATTTTAAGAACAAACTAACAACAATTTTGATTTTTTCAATTTTTTTTCATTTTCTCATTTACTTGTTTTTAATCATTTTTTAAATATTTTTATCTAATAAGTTTGTGAAAAATAATTTTTTAGGCAAACAAAATTTCAACTTTCCATTAGCAAAAAAAAACACAAACTTTTTTGAGAAATTTCAAAAAATGCCACTTTTCAAGTGCCACTTTACAAAAATGTCACATTTTTGAAATCTTTACAAAAATGCCACTTTTTCAAAATTATTTTTTTTTTCTATCATTTATGTTTGGGTTAATTATGTTCTATTAGGATTTAGTTATGAGGGTTTTAGGGGTCAAAACATTTTTTAGGGTTTAGAATTTTAAGATATAGGTTTTATAAATCTATAATTAGTGACATTTTTGCAAATGGGCACCTAAGTGGCATTCTTGCAAATGTGCACACAAAAAGTGGTATTTTTGTAATTGCCCCTTTTTTTATTGGACTAAATTAGGCACGACGATAGTCAACTATAACAAGTGTTAGTTAACAGTTATAGTTGAC